TTACAGCTGGTGTCCCATTTAAGAGGTCGGACAACGTTAGTCTACTGACGGTTTTGGGAGGGCGAGCAAAAGCACTCAAAATGTTTCCATGTTATCATGGAACACAATTAATTTTGGTCCATAGCGCATGTCTGCAGCCGGTTTTGGGTTGAGACGGGGCATGCCTCAAAGATGGAGCTAGGCCTTCAAAGGAGGGTGTCCTGCTCTTTTCAGTCGTGACTTTTGTAATGTCGCTCCCAGCACGAGGTGGATATTATTTGCATCCTGATCCAAACTGGTCCGAAAATAGCAATTTTTGATCTGGAAACGATACCACATGTGGGCAATGCTCCCAGTGGCCCTATTAGCAGCAGAAACTACTTGGCTTCTTTGACATTCGTTCAACACAACGGCTCTCCCTATTTTTGAGGGGCCCAAGTGGTTGGTTTCCTTTGCGACTCGTTTCAGAGGACAACACCCTGAGAACGCACCTCCGGGGCCGGCTGCTACTGAAACCAGTATTTTGATGATTTCTAGGCTGTCAAAGTCAGAAACGGGGGGGTTCCCTTTAACCGCCGCTTGGGTGTATTTCTGGTTCTGAAAGTCAGAAACTGGGGTTCCCCTTCAATCACTGCGAGGGTGACTTTGCCGGTAAAATCTAACCGGTGTTTGGAAGGGGCCTATATCCAAGTTTTGCCTTTAACTCTAACGAGCTACCAGGAATTCCGCTGGCAGAACATCAGACGGGGGGCTGTGGTATGGACAGGGCAAATCGCTGCGAGGCCGGGATCCTGCGGAGCATCTTTGAATTCTCAGCCTCCTTGGGAGATGTCCCCACCCTGGCACCGCGACCGCACGTATATCGCAAGGCGCGTTGTTTGCGTTGAGGAGGGAGGGTTGGGTCCATGCATCCATAGAGCACAGTTCCTTGAAGTGAACTTAGGGGTTCTCAAAAGTACATTTGGGGGTTGCTCCCCTTTTTCCCATCAAGAGGCTGGTTTTGAGGATGTCGCTTTGGACCCACAAGCTTTCCCGCAAAAACCAGGGGACAAACCCACATCTTCGACGTCCTCGGGTTTGCCTCCACGGCTTGGTGCCGGATTCGCTGGGACTTGGTCTCAGAGGCAGACCTTGGGTTTGGCGTACAGCGGAACCCCAAACAAGATTACCCTCAGAAAAGGACACCCATTTTGAGGGTTTTCTCGAAAAAAGGACTCCCCCGTGAGCCATCTACGGGCCCACATGTTGTGAGACCCTGAAGTGGACAGTCTCCCCTGTCCGTCCACAGGCCTCAAGGTGAGCCTAAGGCAAACTAAGGCCAACTGAGGCTCTTAAGGGTTGAGTCTTTCGAGTTTGGAGGTTTGTGGAGGGGTGTTGGGGGTCCTTGATCTGTGCCATTTCGTGTACTGTATGGCAATGAACTTTTCATTCCCTACACCGAGTTGTTGCTGTTTTAAGGGAGTGTAAGTGTTCACTTTGGCATCCTTCCTGCTCGAGGTGCGTCCGAAAGCCGAGGTTTGAATGACCTCTAGGAGGTTAGTTGTCAAGAATGGTTGGGATTATCCCTCGCTAACCTTCATCTACCCGCATTTTGATTGTGGCTCACATCGACGAAGTGCATCACACCACGCCTTTGCCTTAAAGGGTGTCAGGAAAGTCAGTGGACCCTCGTAGGTGCTGCTGGCCATGAACGGAGCATGGATGGACCCTGTGATTTTGCCTCTGTAATTCTTGTCGTGGTTCTGGGTAGACCAATTTAATACAAGGTTTTGATTGAGACGGATGGTGAAAACTGGGACGCGTTGAGCTTGGCACACTCCACCCGAAGAGTTCCCCGACCCCTCTGCTGCACATTTCTGGCAAAACAGACTCGGCCAAATAACAAAAGACTCGGCCAAGTAAGACCCACAGCACTTTGCCTTGCTAGTGCTCAGTGGGGAATGAGGGAATAAACCTGGGAGTTCACTTAAAGGAAACCACAAGGCATGGTTTATAAGGGTTATTTCCTCATTCCCTGCTGAGCGCCAGCAAGTTTTGCTCTTTTTCCCCTTCGCTGAGGTGGTGGGGGATTTCAATGCCGTGCTGCGGGCGAGTGAGGCTTCTTCTGCTGCCAGCTTTCGTCCGGCGGTTTGGAACTGGCTGAGTAGCCTGGGCCTGGGCGTGGCGACTCCCCTCGAGTGCTCCCCCGAGAGCGTGCGCGCGCATTGAATGCGAGCGAGAAGCTGAGTGGGCGCTTCTATTTGGCTGCTTGGTTTTATCTATCACCCTTTGCCTGCCAAATGTTCATGAGTGAGGTTGAAAGGATACATATCGGGAAACCCTGTGAGTGAGTGATCAGTCAATTTGCCCGCGCTCCTGACTCCGAGTTAGAGCGAGGATGCGCAGGCCTCTGTGCAGGCATTTGAACATCCCGCAAGACGGGTCCCGGGAAAAGCACAGGCCAAGGCGTTGAGTCCTTGAAATGGGGCACCTTCTGGAGTGGTTCCCCCAAACTTTCAGGCCTGATGGGTTTCCAAAAGCTTTACCCTTCTGTGCCCCTTTTCGGACGAATTCCGCCTGGCCATTGCGAAATGTACAGCTCAGGGGCCTTCTGAACTAGGCCAAATCTTCCGGTGCGCAGCACCTGGCCTGTAAAGACAAGACCCCCGGCGTCCGGCGGGCCCAAGCGTGACCTTCAAGAGCCTTAAGAAAGCTATGAATTTTCGGGCCCATGAGGAGCTCCGGTTTCCGGTTTCAACCCATCCCACCCTGCTCCAAGAGCGGCGGTAATGGAACGAACGCAAAACGTCCCCCACAGCCACACCGCGCTGCTTCCAAGGCGTCCGACAGTCGGTTCCGAAACCCGCGTTGCGGCTCTGTGGTTTAAGGCCTTCGTGGGACGGCGACGGGACACCAATGTCGTTTTGGGTTTTGGACACTTCTTTGTTTGTTGCAAGGGAGAGGCGGAGGGGGAGTCTTGGGAACAAGTTTTCAACACGGGGCTCTTCCAAACTTTCGGCTGTCAGCCTCCTTCTGGCGTCGACGCGTCGACTCGCCTGGGGTTAGCCACGGGGAAAAACGCGTGTGTCGCGGAAGGGCTCCGGGCATGTTGGCGAGCTCACCGAATCCGATGTGTGGAATGACTGACTGCTTTGAGGGTTGGGGGGGGTGGGGGATGATGCTGGTAATGCGATGCATGCTGTTGCTCAGGATGCGGGCTCGTGATGCCGGAGATGAGGTTTAGTGATGCCGGCGATGCTGGCTGGTGAGGGCGTGGCATTGCTGCTTTTTTCGAGTTGAGGAACAGAATGCGAGACTTTTCGACTTGTTTGTATGCATGGGCATACAAAATGCATACTGCATTTTTTGTAAGCATTTTGTGTGCATATTTTTGTGCACTTTGTTTGCATTTCTGGCTCTGGCCTGATGTACGGTGAATGTAATTTGTATGCTTTTTTAAGCAGTTTGTGTTCATTTTGTTTGCATGGCGTACCACGCGCAGCATGCATTTTTGTGTGCACTGCATGCATTCACTGGACACTTGGTATTCATTGTTTGGCTCAGCCTTCAAACTGCCTTCAAGCTACATTTTGCATGCATGTTGTACTTTTGGTGTGAAACCTGTACACTTGAGAGAATGCATAATTTTGCATGACACTGCACAACACTGCAAGACAGGTCCATTTTATGCATGGTGCATGCATTTTGTATGTTTGTGTATGCATTTGGTATGCGTATTGTATACACAAGGCATAGGCGATGCATGCGGCCTGCATGTTTCTGTGCATGTTGTATACATTCTTGGCTTTAGCACGGCGGTTCTGCCAAAAAGAGAACTTTGGAACATGTATAGTTTTGCATAACCCTGCGCAAACATGAGAGAGGTGCTTTTTCCGCATGGTGCATGAGATTGGATGCCTTTTGTTTGCATATTGTAAAATGCACATGAAATGCGTACAACATGCATGCAAACTTCACAAACACGGCATACAGCACGCAACACATGCGCATGTCTCGCATGTTTGTGCAACGTTGTTGCATGAAGGTATCCAGGCCAACGTGCATGCCTTTCTGCCTGTTTTTTGTAAGGGTGCCCAGACCAACAATGCATCCAAAATGCATAATGCATGCGCACGGAATGTATACACCATGAATACCATGCACTTGTCTTACATTTTTGTGCAGGGTTATGCAAACATGTGAATCGTCTTGTGTTTGTTTTTTTCCGTTTTTCAAAGTGCCGAGGCCAAGTCCAAACCTGCATGCAACTTGCCTTCCGTCGCTTTGCTGCTTTCCCTTCCCTTGCTTGGCCTTGCTTTCCCTTGCTGTCTCTTTGTTCCTTGCTTTGACTTGCTTTCCCTTGCTTTCTTGCTGTCCCTTGCTGTCCGCTTCCCTTGCTTTCCTTGCTTTTGCCTTCCATGCTTTGCCTTGCGTTCCCATGCTTTCCCTTGCTTTCCCTTCGCACCCACGCTGCCACGGATTAAGGTAGTGGCTTTCCGTTGTTGCCTTGCTGGTTTGCAGACGTGGCTGGAAAGTTGCTTTTCAGGTCGCCACTTAAGTCATGAACTAGTCGTGGTTGGACGGGAATAAACGGCTCTGGCCACTCTGTAATCAAGTTGATTACATTTGGCGCACTCACCGAACTACCGACAAATATTGCCTGTGACAACTCCTAGGCAGAGATGATGACATGCTTGTGGCCGGGTGTCAGAATTCGGAAGCCTCTGGCAGGTTGGCAACTCTTGCTTGTGCATACACTCAGTATCGATCAAGTCAGAACATACTGCACACACATTCTGGATAGACAATAGAAATGCCTAAATGCATGTTTGCATATATATATATATATGTTTACATATGTGTGTGTATATATATATGCATATACATGCACATATATATATATATATATATATATATATACATACATGGTAGATACATGTATTGGACGTACATGCATAAATTTCTGCATACTGCACTGTGCACATTCTTCACGTCACTCTCGGGTGGGATTCTTCGGTGCCGCTCGCTCCAAAGCGGACAAGGCGGAGAAGGCGGCGGAGCCGAGCCCAGGCGGAGGGGCTCATGGCTTCGTCTTGTGTACCCCCCCCCACGGGGTTGGCCCCAAAAGCCAAGGCAGTGGAACCTCCCCACATGGGGGTAGCTCAAGAGATGACGCTGCAACGTGCTTCGGAGAAGCAAGGGGAGCCATGGCAACCAGTGAGGATTGCGTGCGATCAAGGACCATCAAGGGTCATAGTCTTCCTTTGGCTTCCCTGGCTATGGCTCTGGATCAGCATTGGATAAATGGGATTTCGGACCCTCACGTGGGTGGCTTTCCGGTGCAATACCTCATCAAAAAAGGGCCGACATTGGTCTCAACCCTGGTGAACAACCTTACATGGTAAATCAACCCCCAAACAAATTAAAGGGTTTCCCCTCAAAGCAACCCCAACAACGGTAGCCAGAAAACATAATTTGTGTTTTTCTCTTTCAAGCAACAAGCAAAAAGGTCACCTCAGCAAGACGACATCCAGAACAGATATAATTAGAAACCCAAACATACAAAGCTGACGCTACCAGCGGAATTTCCGTATGTTTCAATCAGGCAACCCTTAGTTGGTGGGATTTGAGCCCACAAGTGTTCCCTACGGGCATATGGATTTTGGGACATCACCCTTAGGGTTGGGAACCTGCTTCCAAACCGGGCTCCAAACCTAGTAGCCCAAACTCCCGGAATGGACCTCCTTTTAGATAGTGTTTGAAAGGCAACCAACAGGACACCTCCCTTTTGGGAAGACAGCCCAGCCCCAGCCCCAGCCCCAGAGAATGCCTCCTCTTGTCCCCAACCCGAAAAGCTCCTTGGCTACATGGGGGGCCTTGTGTTCAGCCAGGGCTAGTAAAGGACTGGGGCTAGTAAAAAAACTACGTCAACCTTCCCGGCCTTTCAAAACACCGGCCAGACCTGAGGCCTTTCGGTTGGTTCCTCCACTGTGCCAGTCCAAGGTGACTAGACCTGAGGTGCCTTTGGCAAAATTGCAACACTAAGAATGACCCTATGAAGATTCACCCCTCAAGATTAGCTCCCTTTTCATGGGGGCTTCATTTCGAACGCCAGCATCCCATCTTCGGCGGACCGATCTCAAAGTGGGCGTCTAAATTAGGAATCGGACCCAACAGATGGTCAGTTTCCTTTTGGTTTCCCTTTAAAAGCAACCAAAAAAGGCTCCCCGCAAAGACACAAGCGCGCCTTTGCCAGGCAAAGGCTTTGGGAAGAAGGGGAAGGCAGGGGCAACGGCAGAGAGGGCAGTCAAGGACCCACCAACCGAAAGTCTTGGCATGTTTGGCCTGTTTTGGGCTTCAGCACTTTTGTTGTTCCTTTTTTGCTGTTTTTTTGCATTTGTTGGCCTGACTTGGCTCTATCGGGCCCTAGTTGGCCTTGTCAATGAGGCTTGTGAACCCTGCAGGAGGGCAGTCATGAGGAATCCAGCTGACAAGGGGCACGCAAGTACTCAACTGCCAAAGCAAAAGGACACATGGGGGATGGCTCCAGAGGTGGTTGAACAGAAAAACATTCGCCCAAAACCACCCTCCCGGAGATCCTGGGAGGCCTTGAGAGTTGGGTGGTTTGGCCTAAGTTGTCCCAAGCCTTCCACTCATTTGCAACCAACCAGCATGGCGCACAGCGCGACTTTGAGGGAAATTCCATTCCGGGGACAAACTCCCAAAACGGGATATACCAGTGTTTGCATTCAGGCATCCAACCCTGAAATTCACGCCCTGATTTTCCATGAAGGAGGTTCCACCTCGTCCATGGACGGTTCCTTCTCGGGTCCCATGTTTCAGTGCGAATGAAGTGACAGCCCAGTGGGCGTGTCTCTTTGTTGGTACTCGCAATGTTCGGGTAGCTCAGCCCTGTTTTTCAACGGCTACACTTGCCACGCCCACTCTTTTTTGGTTGGCACCGTGCTTGGAGTTTCCATTCTTTTGAAAACCAAAAGGAAAGCTCCCCAATTCAGTGGGTTCCGGTTTCTCTTTTTTTTCTTCTTCCTCTTTTGGGGCGGGGGGGCGGAAATCAAGGGAACACCCTGGTCATTCCTTTTTGCGACACTCCCGGGGTTTGTCAGAATCGGCGGTCCGTTTTTGGTATTCGCTTTAGGCGGGCGGCACCGGGGTGCAACATGGGGCCTTGGGAAGCCACTTAAGTTGGTTCAGTCTCCACAAGGAGACCAGTTCCAGTTGCCCCAGTTGTCATCATGGTCACAACCTACTCACCCTCCCACCATTTTCAGGTGGAACCTCCCCGGGACCCGGCCCTTCAAAAGGAAAATGGTCCAAAGGTCAAGCAACCGCCGCGCTCACCAGGCAGTGCCCAAGGAGCCGTCCACTCCTCCGCCCCGTGTGGCTTATGCCGCGTTTGATGTGTCGGTCCCGGCAAAATCCCACCCTTGAACCCCTCCCTTGGGGTGAACTTTAGTTGGGCTTCCTTTTGGGGTTGATGTTTGAAGGGTATGGGGAACGCCGATTTGGGGTTCGGGAGATGGACCAGACGCAGCCGTCAGAGCACGATCCGCATTTAAAAGCTTCAGGAGGAGCGCAGCGCTGTCCCGTGCTCCAACCCTCCCGCGACAAAACACTCTTTTATTTGAGGTCGCGATCAATCCTTTACAAAGGAAAACTGGACCAATTCGAGGGTCCAAGGGAAGCATGGTGACCATGCCCACGGAGCGTTGACCATGGCACACAAATCTCGACAAGAACCGCACTTTTCTTGCTGCAGACAGTTTTTGTCCGGGGGGGGCTTCCTGGCCAGGCGTTCGTTCCCGAAGTGCGGCGCTCGGACATTGGCATCGGGGTGTTCGCTGGGCCTTGGCCCCCCTCTGGTTGGTGATCAAGCGGAAAATCACAAGGCAAAGCCCACCTGGATTGCTGCAGGTGTCCCTCATCACACTGGTGGACTGTTCCCTCGCACTAATGTGGCGAGGCTAACCAGGCCCAGCTTTAGCAAGAAGGCCTCGATCACCCTTGATGCGGCTTAAGCCACACTTGGACCCTCAGCTATAGACATGGATCTGACTCCGCAAGCCACACTTGGGAGGGAGGACTCTTGGGGTTTCCGGGGGCACCCGAAGAAATCATGGAAATCGGGCAAATGGCATTATTCCAAAGAACACCAGGCATCTGTTTTTGGCAGTCCATATTTCAATCAATGCTCATGGGGCACCCAAATAATGAGACGGCGGTCCTTTTTTTGTTTGGGGGGGGAGGGGCGGCCCCAAACAATGGGAGGGCAGGTTGGTGATTCAAAGCACATGATATTTGCAGTTTCATTAGTTGACTAATTCTACTCGCCACCCCTGGTCCGCGAATATGACTTCATTTGCTTCCTGACTGCAGTATGTGACAAGGGAATGCCCTGCCATCATTTGACTAGTTCTAGTCTAGTTCGAATCGCGACCCGCTCCCCCGAGTTATTCAGGTTCGTGTTGCAAATAGTGGGAGTCCTTAAAAACAAGCAAAGAAAAGACAGAGATGCAGCGTACATGACATAGAATGGGCTCTTCGCGTGCGGCCAACGTTTGGTGCCATCCAAGGCATCGTTCGTTCAGCCAAGGCCAAGGCCAAACCGGCGGCGCCGCCCACCCCCTCCCGGGGCAAGGGCGCTTCGGAGCCAGCGCGGCTCAGAAGCCTAGAGGTGGGGCGGAAATCGGGCGGTCGCCTCTGGTCGGTGCTTTGGATTGGTCGGGATTTGGATCTTGAGGGCACACGGGAAACCGGAACACCTCGAAAGCCGCCAATTGCCATCAATGAGAGGGAAGCTGAAATGGGGGACCCCTGTCAATCACAACTGGTACTACCTGTGCGTGTGTGCGTGGGTACCGTTTTTGAGCGTGGTTCAAAGGAAAACCAACCGGAACGCGACTTTTTTCAGGGGAAGGTTCGCGCCGAGCCTCTAAAAGCCGGCCGATGTCCATCCACAGTAGCCAGTAGGCTTTGAGCTCGCCGGTTTTGTTTTTTTGACTACTGGGTAACGAGTGCAGGCTCAAGCTGAAACGCTTGCATTCCAATAAGACCAACAAAAAAAACAAGGGACAGGCAATGTGCTTCCATGCTTCCCATACTGCGGCATGAAAAAGCCCTGCAAGCTCATCTGACATAAGCTGCGCGCAAGGTCATACGAGCACCCCCTCAAGTAGGAGCACGCTCGAAAGTTCAAATGAAATTGAACACATCACACCCCTCATCCAATTGCAAGCACGAGAATCTGCGGTGCTAGTGGCGGCGTGAGCTGAAACAAGCAATTTGGGCCTGTGATGAAGGTCCCTCAAAGCTTCTTTTCTTCTGGTTGGTGATCTATGCAGATATGTCGCTTCCTGTTGACCCCAAACCTGAGTTGAAGATGTCTTGGAACATGTTTCCTCACGACAAGAGCTCTCAATTGTGCGCCTGTCCGAGTGATTCCTGGCCGCGTCGGCGTGTGAGTATCCCCAGTGAGTTCCAAGCGTTGAAACATGCGGACAGTTTCGCCGGCTGGATGTTGTCTTTGCCCAGGTTAAGTGGTTTTGGCTCACGGCTTAGGGAATTCTGTTCCAGTTATTCCCATGGTGAATCGCCTGAATCTACCCACGTTGTTTTCAGGGGACTGCTCCCAACTACAGCTTTTTGCCATGAGCATTGCAAATCCCTCCTTTTAAGGCAGGCGTGAAGGAGCCAAACGCTGGAAGATACTCGCCAGGCCTTTGCTTTCAAGCTCGCCAATCGACTCGAGTGTTTGCAGGGCTGGGTGGTCGCACCTCAGGTTTGGCCTTCCTCAAAATGGACCCCTTTGGTACTCGAAGAGGAACCAACAAGGCGCCAGCCATCTAGGGGCTGCGAGTTTGAGAAACGCACATTTGCCTCTCCCGTATTCGTGTCATTTGCCAGGTGATGCTGAATCGGTTGCTCCATGACTGGAGCACCCTGCCTGAGGACGCTGTCTAGTGCGGCTTGCAGTGTGCGCCTGGCTCGGCTTTTCAAGCTTTGAGCAGTGGCTGGATCAATTCAGCTGACACGAAAAGGGATCTCCCGGCACCAACAGTCTCCCTTGTAGATGGTTGCGATCAAAAGTGGCAATCCTGGCTTGGATCATTTCCATTGATGGGGCGGCGTTTGGGAGAAGGGCCACCATTTGGTTCAAACTGCTCATTTCTCTTGGGTTTGGGCCTAAGCTCTGAAGCGAAAGAGAATGGAGAAGGAGGGCACCGCTGGAGTTTAAGGGCTTAAGACCCATTGGAGCGTGATGTCCTTTTCAACTAGCATTGGAGTCTACTTTTGCGGATGTCACTTCAATATGCCCAGTAGAACACCCCCTGAACTGCCTCGCCCGGGCTTGTGCTGGCGATACCACCTCCTCCTCCTACCTCCTACTTCCTCCTCATGCTCACCATCATCATCATCATCATCATCATCATCGTCATCATCGTCATCATCATCATCATCATCATCATCATCATCATCATCATCATCATCATCATCATCATCATCATCATCATCATCATCATCATCATCATCATCATCATCATCATCATCATCATAATCATCATCATCATCATCATCATCATCATCATCATATACATATACAGATACATGTACGCATACACCTACATACTTTCATCCACACCTTGTCAATATATTTACACATATATGCATATGCATATGCATATGTGTTAATATTTGTATATACTGTATATGTACACACACATATATGTATCTATCTATAAATAGATATACATACACACACCTGTGTGAGCATATATATATATACATATGTATGCGTACCTTTGGGGGCTTGGGGGGAGACTTGCCTTTCCATGATAGCTCCCGACCTCGCTCGAGGAGCTGAAGCCCCAGGCCATGCAGCTCCTGCTGGACAGGAGCGATCCTTGGGGTGTGTGTGTGGGTTGTGGGTTATGGGTTTGGCTTCAAGGCAGCCTCTCAAAGGCACACACACACACAGATCAGTTCAATCAAATGACCTGCTTAAAATATATAGTTGAATGACCCCTTCCAACCAAAGCTCTTTTGAATGATGGAATGGCTGGTCGGATGTGTCCATATTCCCTAAGAGCAAGCCTCTTTCTTGAAAAGCTTATCCAGATTTGTTTATCCACATGGGAATCGCATGGTGGCCGAACAACCACCCAGGGAGCTCGCTTGTCAACGGGTATTTCGACTGTTCACACTCTGTGCAGGATTTTGGAGGAAGCGCCGCAAGAGCAGAAGCAGTACGCCCTAGACAAGGCCAGGGGGGTTTGGGGTTGGTGGAAACAACCAGCCCCTGGTCCCTTTGCAAAGGAACCCGGAAACGACAGTGGTTTAAACACCTTTCAACAAGGGATCAGTCGAGGCGCACTTGGAGTTGGTTTGAGTTGTTCGTATCAGAGTTTGGGGGTCCTTCCATTTTTGGTTACCTGTTTTGGTTCGGTTCTGATGCATGCTTCGTCATGCATCCGCTCGACCCAAAAACGCGACGTGCGTTTGGGCATGTGTTTGACCAATCTTTCCTCTGCTGATCTTTCCGCGTTGGGTTTCCACGGAAACAGTGTTGACCGGATCTTCTATCCGTCGTGGCACCTTAGAAGTTATCAAGCCCCTGACGGATGATGCATGTTGATTTGATGTTCCATTTTATGAAACTATGGGCATGAACAGAGGGTTTGACGGCCCTACAACGTGACACATCACTGCGCAGAGCCAATGTTTCGAGGGATTCTAAGAACCCCCTCTTGCCCGGAGCTGCGCGCGAACTCAGGAGTGAGCCCTCTGCGGAGATTTTACCTTTTTCCTCTGCCTAAGGGTCTCGCTCTGCCCAGAATAGTCTTTTCCTCCCCCCCCCCCTCCACACCTCCCGTTTTTCAGTCTTCTGGAACCCTTTCCCTTTCCCTCTACAAGCCACTCAACTCCTCGGCCTTGCTCCCTAACATCCGACCCCTAAGCCTGCAATCCTAAAATCCAAATCGTCAAGCCCCCACCCCCACGAGATGGGTTTTTATTTTATTGACCATTGCCTTTGGTTCCGCAACTCACTGTCTGAGAAGGGTTTTTATTGATGAACCTTTTCTCTCGGGGGGTTGAACCTAAGGAGACCCACACCCACTGCGACATTGCCCTCCCCCTTCCGCACACAAATTGAGGTGAGTGTTTTGTACTCGTCGGGGAAGACTCAGCCACTCCCGCACAATCTACTTTCATCCTGCAGGCGTCCACCTTTGGGGTCAAAGAAAGCTTTCGACTTCCGAAACCCTTCATGAGACTTTCAGCTTCCATCGAAAAAAGACCTTCAGCACAGAGACAGCCCCTGCAGTTGGCTGCTTCTGGCAACGGCGAAGAGGACTGGCAGAACCAGGAGGACCGACTGAGCCGGATGCTGCCCCATGCCCCCCCCATCCCTCAGGGTTCCATTCTGACTTCTTTGGCGGGGGATTCATGTCCACTAACCTTTGGCGAGTGCTTAGCAGGCTCTTTCACCATCCACCTCATTCTCCCGCGGGTTCTTGCGCTTTCCGGGCTGCAAGCCAGGCTTGCAGGTTTGTGAGACGACCTTTGGACAATTCCATGGCCCAAAAGTGCAGATGTTCCCCTGGCGGCAGAAACCACATCGCACAGGGCCCCTTGAAGGTCCGTACTGAGATTCCTTGTAGCAACTGGTGCAAGGAGAGAGAGACCCCCCGAAATGGCGGGTTTCACTTGACCTGCAAACGGGCCGCCAGGAGCCGGCCCCGGCGGGTGCCCCGGAGTCTGCCTACGAAGCCGACGAAGACGGCTACGCCGAGCCCGAGGCGGAAGCGGAGGTGGAGGCGGAGGAGGCGGGGAGCTCTACAGACGTCCGTGTTGCCCCTCTGGGTGTTAAACATCACTCGCCAAATGAAAGTGAGGTTCCTTGTGGTGGGGTGATTGTTTAAGGGGACATACAGGCAGCCCCGTTCTACCTGGTCATGAGGCTCATGTAAACCGTGACAATGCAAAAGTTGGTGGGTTGCGGACGCTGCTCAATCCGGATCAAGCCACAAGGGTGATAAAGGCAGGTTTCCGTTTGCCCTAGGTGGGCTCAAACCCAGATAACGGGGGGTCCCGTCCAGGAGACATACCCATACTGTTCATGATATAGCCTTTCAAGCGAAGCCAAATCGTAACTTGAGATTCATCCGGGTTTTCAAACCCCCTTAAGTGGAGAATCGTTTACTTATTGGGGGATTCCTCTGATGAATGTAAAACAGTGCTCCATGGAAGGCCGGCGCTGAATAAACCTTGAACATGAATCGACCCACAGACTAAGGTTCTCTGGATTAATCCGAAGTTAGTCATGGTTCTGGTTCTCTTACAAGCAGACCTAGTCGTATTTGAGAATTTTCTATAGGTTCCCATCCCTTCAGACTACAGACCCCAAGAAGTCTGTTTTGGCCGGCATTGTGTTTTCCTGAGTACAGGGTTTGGCTTCTGAGAAGTTTCCAGAGCTATTGGGGATATGTTTCAGTCGGCAACAATCATGGAAGACTAGAGAGGGGTTCGCCGAAAGGAAAGCCTTCACTCCCTGAGTTCCTAGCGGGTGTTCGGGGTCTGGACCATTTTAGTGGCAAACAGCACGGTTGGTTCTTTTTTTGCCAATCCACTCGATTGGAAGTGAGGGATGGCTCGTTTGGCCTGTGGCTTATTTAATGTATAGAGCCAGGAACCATACTTGGGGGCATTCCTTAATCCGGATTGAATTGAAATTCACATGGAGCATCCTTGACCTTAGGGACGAGATTCTTGGCATAAACGGGATGCGATTCGAATGATTCACCCAGATAATGAGTCAAGGGAGCGGAGATGGACGCCAGGAGCCTGCGATGGAGACAGAGCAGGCGGAGCAGGAGGTGCAGGAGGAGCAGCAGCCCATGGAGGAGGCGCGGAACATCTGCTTCTCGGAGTCCTAACAGCAGCGTGGATCAAAGCCAATGGGATCCCATTTTGAGGTAGGTGGATTCACTCATTTTAGAAACCATTTTAGTGGGGATTGGGATATTCACTATTGTGTCTGCGGTCGAAGACCAACCCAGCGTTGGATTGTGCGCCAGATGTCATGGCTAAAAGTGTTTTCGGGGTTTCATTTTCGACGTGTGGAACCCAACCTTACAAAAAGACCAGTGGGCCGGGGGGGGGGGGGGAAACGCGCTTGAAGTTCTTCTGAGGGCTTTCTAGCGCTGAGCGGGGGGCCAACTGTCAACTGAAAGCAGAATGGGCCTTCCTGCCTGTTCATTTCTCAGCATTCAAGGATGGGGCGTTCGTTGCCACCTGCTTGAGCAAGAAACCAGGATGGGGCGTTCGTTGCCACCTGCTTGAGCAAGAAACCACTGCGGGAAGAGAAGAAGGGCAGATGAGCATGCCCCAAAAAGCCAATCTTTTTCACAGATCTGGTTGCACTTTCCTCAACCATTTCGAAAACTGTGCCAAATGGATATGTGTCAAGCTAGGGGGCCCCCCAAATATGGTGTTACTTTTGGTTTCCCGTTAAAGCAAGGCCAGAACGAGAGCCGGAGGGCCAAATTGCCAGGAGTACAGGGACGAGAACGCGGGCAGCGAAGAGCAGAAGGCCCTCCTCCGAGCGACTCGAGTTTGGTCTTCCTCAGTTTCGCTCGGCCTCGGTTTAGTTCTTAAGGCCATCTTAGGGCAGGGGCAGGTGGGGATGTGTGGTCCTTCTCTCGAGACAAAGGCGGAAAATGGTTGCCCCAGGGTTTCCCACCCTACTGGTTTGTCACTTTACGGGGGGATCCCTCATGTATTTTCACTCAAAGCAGCAAAGCCTTGTTTCCCACAACCAAGCGCATGTGATTCAAATCGAAATCAAACTCTGTATAGGTGTCAATCAGTTGATGATGGGATTGTCTCCTTCCCATTTGACATTGACGCTTTGGCCCTGATAAGCAAGGCCGTGCCCATTTGAGTTCTGAAAATGTGGGCGGTGGGTTTCCCTCTGGCTTTCCTTGCACGCCAACGGCACCTAACAAGTCTTTGTATGAGATGGCTCTTTGGTGCTGTGCTTCAACGAACGAAGCTAAGCCCCCGGAATTCCAGGCCCTTTTTCCTGGCAGATCAGTTCGCATCCATCCGTCCCTTCTGTGAAAGGAGGTCTGGGGCTGCAAAAGAACGATCCTCGGAGGATTTTTCGTCATGGTTGGAACCCCTCAAGCTAATTGGTGACATTCCCCCTATGAATTTCTGACGTCTCACGCTACTTTGCAGCAGAGCATCAAAGAGCCCTGTAAATTGGCAAAGGCCGGAAAAAGAGAAACTGGTCTTGGGATCCAACCCCCGCTTTTTTTGTGAAGAAATGCCCAATCTCCGCCAAAGGGCCCCTTGCTCAAGATATTCACACACAATTCCTTCCATCTCCAGTCACGTTTTTCATCCAAGTCCCAGGCGGTTTCCTCTGGCCATCCAGTTCAGCCGGCCTTCCACAAGGAACCAAATGAGGCAAAATCTGGGCATGGGTCAAAATGAAACCACCAGACGTCACCAGATTGCAGGTTTTAGTCCTTGGTTCCATTTGCCAGGGCTCCATTTTGGCTACCCATTTTTGCCCCACAGGCCATGGAAGACTTCCTGGCCGGCGCGGAGAGCACCAGCGGTCCGGAGTGGTGCAAGGCGCGCCGACGGGTTTTTCCCTTTTCGGAGGGCCGTTCTCCGCGCAAAGCACCGGGATCCGCCAGGGAAAACCCAAATTGCCCAACAAGGTGGCGGATCCCTAGGGCAATTTGGGTTTTCTTCTTTTTGCTTTTTCTTTTCGGAGAGGTGGCGGATCTTTTGTAACCCTCTTTCCAAAAACGATGGAAGTGGACAGGGGGCTTCCACAGAAGGAAAGCAGTCTTCCGAAACCCATTTTGCTAGCTTCCGTTTGGCAACGGATCCTTTGGACTTTAGCTTGCTTGGGGAAATCAACCCAAGAACCAAAAGCCTACAATCTTTAGATCTGAATCTTTATGGCTATTTGGTTGGATCGCTATGGCTATTTGATTGATTTTTTGTATTGGACCCTCAAAGAGCGATCAACTTTTGCAGAGGCGTCCTTGCAGCAACCAAGGGATGATCATTCAACGCGAGAGCAAAGTGGATGTCCAATCACCAGCCAGTCGATTGCCTTCTTGCCTTGCGCGGTTGTGTCTATCCGAAATGGGAGACATGGACCTGTCACAAGCTCGAAAGTTCAGCAAGGGGACGAAGCCGAATTTGCCCATGTTGACCGGAAGCCGAAGGGTCGTGACCCGCAAGCTAGCGGGATACAACTGGGTCGCCCGAGCACCAGCGGCAGCATGTCAGGAGCTTCATTTGAGTCGGTGGAAGAATGTGAGGGGTATCAAAAAGGAAGCTATGCCAATGAATTCAAAGCTCCGTGTTAGCCTTCCTTTCCTTGAGTTACATCAAGCAACAGTGGCAACCTGTGCCAATTTTTAGCAGTCCCAAAGAAGAAGACTTGCCATGTATTTGAGAAGCCCAAGCCTGCAAACTATTTTGATTTTGATAATTCGTAGAACGGCAACTGCCACCCCCTAACACACCTCCCGCTCTTGTCTAGTTTAGTTCCCCTCAAGGGGGGCGGTGTGTTCAGAAGTGGGTGTGCATCTGTCTCCCAGCCTTGTCATGCTTTTTCTACTTATCGAGACAATCTCGCAGAAAAGTACTTGGGAAACTAGCCAAACCCATTGCTGTGGGTGTTTTCCGTTCTAAACAAGCCAGTCGTGGATGTTTGGTGATTTTCCTGGAGGTTCTTTGTTAGATTTGCGTCTGCGGTCGATTTTGCCTACGTTCTAGCTTTGGAATGCGTAGAAACAAAGATGGTCTCAGCAAGTTGAGACCTTGGAAACCAAGGCGAGGAGGGCAAGCCAACAGAGTGCCATCGAGAGTCTTAAATTGCGAAGAAGGAGTTCCTTCTACAAGGACACGAAAATTTCCGGGGTTCTCAAAAGCGCTTTTGGGGGAGGTTTCCTTCAACCACACATCTGCCAATTTTCCAAGCGTTCGGGTCTTTAACGAAACCCCTTGGTTGGTGTGGTTTAGATTGGTGGATTGAATTTGGACTGGTTCTTGAGTAAACGGGAAACCACGCCGGATTGCCTCCAAACCGGCCCCAAGCCACCCGTTTTGAGGAAAGCTGACATGCCCTCATTACCCTCCACAGGCCTGGACAGGGCTGCACGTCCCCCGGCAAGCAGAAGCAGATGTGCTCAGCGTGCTGTTTGAGGCGCTTCGGACGGCGGTTCGGGCGTTTGTGGTTGAGATGGGGGCTTTAGGGGCGCAAAATACGCAAAACACGCTCCTACCACCGAGGTCGTGGAAACAATGCTGCTTCAAGCATGTTTGATCAGTTGCTTGGCCCCTCCTACAGGGCTCCTTAAAAGATACATTTTGCCCATTTGAAACATGGCTTTTTCCACCAAAATAAAGGGAAACCACCATTTACAAGCAATGTTCAGGTGTAGAATGTAAGGATCCCTGTCCTAGTTTCCCACAAATCCACTTTCTCTGATACGAAGGGAATCCCCTTCAAAGTGATACACTAGTCATGGAGATGACCCATATTGGTATCAAACAAAGTTGTGTTTTAGCCACAACCATGTTTTCGGGCGGTTTGGGGAGAGATTCCCCCCTTCCCTTGAAACCCTGACCACAAGCCATGCATACGGGTGCATCCACGAAAAAGGGCCAATGTGAAACCATCCAGCTTAAAGGGGGCCCCACTCAGAAACCCATGTAGGTCGTGATGGAATCCCAAACCCTGGTAGAGCCCTGTGCTAGTTCTGACCAGGAAAGACAGAAGCAGGAAAACGAAGGACACTCCAAGGGTGAAAGGTCCGGGTATAGGTCGTGGTCAGCCGGGCCGGAAGCTGGTTTCCCGAGCCCGAGGGCTCGGTGGTGCGGCAGGTTGGGAAGGTTTAACCAACCTACGGGTTGCTTCATCCTGGGCGCCTCCTCAGTAAAGGTTGCAAGCGGTGTTCCCAAAAATCAAATTTGGACCCTTGAACAAGTTGTTTTCCTTGTTCCTCCAAGCTATCAAGGGGGTTCCTTTTTTGTCAAAACTTTCATGAGGGACCCTTGGACTCTTGGGCAAAGTCTGGCCAGTAGCGCAAACTGCGGTTTAGCGTCAATGTTCGGTTCACCAGCGGGTGTTTTTTCCGGCGTGTTTTTTCCGGATCAAGGTAGATTCAAGCCGGGGTTGGTTGGTTGACTTTCCCAGAAAGAGAACATCCGGGTCTAGTGATGGGATTTGTGCAGGGTCGTGGGAATGAGACTGGATTTCCCAGCTCCGCATGCGGGGCATGGTCACCGTGCCTGCTTAACATGGTGGTCCCACAGGTTGATGGCTATCCCTGACCCCCAGTCGCCTTTTGGATTTTGGGGCCTGGGGACCTCCATACATGTTGCTTGTTCCTTTGCTTTTCATCCACACCAACCCCTCAAAAGCACACACCCTCAACAAGCCCCCTTGGAACCTGCTCACGTTCAGGTAGGGATCAATAAGGATGCCGCCGACAAGGCAGGGCAGTGCCGGCGGAATGAGCGTTGATTGAACCAGAGCTTTGCCCTTTGACCAGCTTGTTGAGTCGGTCTCAAACGAATAAAAGTCCTCAAATAGACAGGGCCCTCTAGAAGAGCTCGGGCACTCCAAGACATGGCCTGTTTTTCGCCCGGTGTGGAAACGGACTGCTGCCAACTTTGCCAAAAGAAGGGGAACGCCAAAGGGACCTTCGAGGTTGAAAAGGAGCACTTTTTTCGACAGGGCCAAAGGGTATTTGGTGCGCTTCGGGGCCCGAAGGGTGCTGCTTTTCGGTTGGACAGCCCGGGACAACCCCTCAACCCCAAGAGACCCATGGACTTGGCCGAGGGAACGTGGGGCGGCGTTCGGTTTCCGGCCGTTTCAGAGCGAGGAGTCCGGATACTTCGACTTCCTGCCGCGGATCGTGGTGGAGCTTCTGAGGCAGCACAAGGCGAGCTCTTTGGACACCAGCGCTCGGTCCCAGTTGGTATCCCCTGCTTCGGGGGTTCCTTTTTTTTTTTGACAACAAGACGATGCAATCGAGCGGTGAAACGTGTATCGTCATGTACTTTGTTTCAGAGTTTCCTCGAAGAACTCCCTTCAAGCCGGATCCGATCACATTTTCAAACAAGGAGATTGGCGAGCACACTTGTGAAATGGAATTTGTTCGCGAAAACTGATTTGTGCGACCAACAATAGGGACAAGCTGACCAAACGCACATGAAAGCCCCTTAATTGGGGTTCCTTACTCGAGGTGTGTGAATACTCATTTGGCCAGATCAGACTGATCAGACTCTGTCAAAGAACTGGAACCTGGCTGGTTCTGAAGTTGCAGTAATTGGCTGCTCACAACGAGGCCTACTCTGTGCAGAAGTTCAGGACGACATGATTCTAGTGTGCCGGTGCTGTTCTTTCCCAGAAAGAGCGGCGGCCAACAAGGAAAATATGTTCATAGGCAGCGGAGATAGGCACAGGCAACCGGAGATAGGCACAGAAGTGTCCAAGGCTTGGCCGCAGTGAGCCTTAGTGTTTGTTGAGGCGGACCCGTTTGACATTTCCCAGACGTTTGAATAGATGGGCAAAAATGCTCAAGGTTTTGGCTTTTGCTGGCAGTGCAATGAAGCAAGTTGATAAGCCATATGGTCAAAATCAAGATCCTTTGCAGCTGCTGAGATTGGTGAGGTGCCATTTGCATTGGCTTGTTTTCGGCCGTGCGTCATACCTGGGAGTGTCTCGTTTTAGGGAACCCCCCCAAAAGCGGTTGGCTTCCTAGTTGTTTTCCATCTGACACCAACCAACAGGGGGCCTCAACAAATTGACAGACATACCTGCTCCAGTTTCCTGGGAGACACCAGCGGAAAGGTCCTCCCCAAGAACGTGGAGGTGGCCTTGAAGGAGGCGGAAGCCTCCGGGGTTCGCTTTGCTTTCCACAGCTTCGGAGTCATGCCCAGCGGGTTGGAGTTTGGCAGGTGTGCTCCTTTTGGCTTAAGACGACTAAATGGGTGTGGGTCCTTTTGTTGGAGTTGGTGCCGTTTTTTGGTTGGTGTGAAAGGAAAGCCGAGAGGAAAACCACCGTTTTGGGGCCCCCGAAACAAAGACACACCCAAATCACATTTGGGTCGAAACTTGGTGCGTTTGGCTTCCTTTGGTGTCCCTTCCGCGCTTTGGCACCCTTTTCGGTGTCCATTTAGGGGCCCAAAAACGCAGGCCTCGCTCGCTTGGCGCCACTGTGGGATTGGAGCCATGTGTTTGGGGAATATGCTTTGGATTGTCACTATTTGCGAGTGGCCCAGGAAGTCACCTTTGACGTGAAGGGTTCATGGGGATTGCCCACTTCGGTGTCACAGCAAAGTGCCCATTTCGAACGACCCAATCTTTTGAGGCATACTTTGTTTGATACCTTATGTTAATATTCTCCTGTTCGGTTCTGAAAAGGACAGTGTATTCATTGGGACCCGTATGATGGGCCTTGCGCCGGTGGCTGAACTCGCTTGAGCCACCCTGTTTCAGATGCCACCAGCTAGCCGCAAGCAAGCAATCCGTGTGTGGAAGGAATCTCCAATATCCGCAAGCCTTTGTTGCGAGTCATTCGGCTCCGATTGCGAGTCATTCCCACATTTGACTCGTGTGATTTCGGAAATTGAGCACCTGCTCCAAAGCTCCACCCTGGGGTTCAACCCCCAAAGGATTGGTTGCCCCAATTTGGATGAACAGCAAAAAACGGATTATGTTAATCCAACCATTGTGTTAATGGCGGTAGCCGAAGCCCGTCCATCTTGGACCTCTCGTTCCTTGGCGTACCTCGGGGGCTTAGGTGTCCATGAAAAATCCATTGGGAGCCGGAGATGCATCAAGGGCACTCGGTGACTTTTTAAGAATACATGTCAGGCAAAAGTACGACAGGGTCCTTGGAGCACGCAAAATGGGGGGGGGGAAGAGGGGGATTTGTTGTTGAACTGCAACATCGTGTAGTGTCTACTCTGAAAAGGCAGGGCTTTGGCAGATCCTCTTGAAACCAAAAGGAAGCTCAAGAGAGAAACTGTTTTTCGAGCCTCATACATTTCCCAATGAGGACATGGCCTGGACACAAAATGCACTTCGCACCAGTTGGGATTGCCCCCACAGGTTCATTCTGGATGTTTCCAACCGAAACCGAACAAGCGCCACCCTTCGCGTTCTTCGTTTTCTTCTTTTCTGCTGGGTTGCTTGACAGACCTCATCTAGAGACGATGCCAGACTGTTCAATGCTCAATCCAGGTGCTGACCTACACCCTAGTCCACACAAGGAACCCCCGACGTTTTTTGCAAGACGGCCCAACTAAGAACAACAAAGGACCCATGCCTAGGTTCCCCAGTAGTGCCCTACCCTGTTTTTGGGGGAGTGGTTCCCCTACTAGAATAGACAGAAAAGGGTACCCTTATTCTAACCTCTACTGGAGGGCTTAGATGCGTTGGTTTTCATGCAGTCGGATTTTCAGTTTTTGGAGACTTTCCAAACGACCTGGTCGCCAGGGCCTCAGCTCCAGGCTAGAGACTCTCATCCAGGCCTTTGGGTTTTGGGGGGGGTCTTTGTTCGTGTGGATGAGGCGAAATGAAGTCTTGAAGCTTTTTGGGGTGGGAAGAGTACTGACAAACTTCCAGATATTCCTAGAGCTTGACTGGGCCCTTTTGCGCGGTCTTCAGGAGAAATAGACAGGGGCGAGCCCAGAACTTCCACCAACCGAAAACCAGGTGTTGAGGTGGGTGTTTCTGGAAATGCAGCTCCAGGGTCAGGATTGAACTATTTCTCTTGTTCCCAAAAGATATTTGAAGAATCGCAAACCAAACCCGTTCGGGTAGACTGGTGGAGACCCCAGTCTGGAGCCTCTGGAGCCTCTGGAGCCTCTGGAGCCTCTGGATCCTTTGGGTTGATGGTTTGATGTGGGCCATTGCTGGCATCCTAAAAACACCGGTCAAACAAGGGGCTGGCCGTGTCGCTGTGTCCCTGAAGCCACAGGCGTGGTCGAGGGTACACGACGTTAATTCGCTAGAGAGACAAGCGATTTGGAGGCTTCCCCTGTTTGATGGAGACACATGTCAAAACCCTGTACCCCTGGTGAACATCAAAATAGGTCGCAAATGGATGTTCATCCACCCCAAAATGGAGCCATAGGCAGCCATAGGTTAGTTATGCCCCATGGCCATGTCTTTGACCCGGGCTTCGGGCCAGCTGCGCGACGCAGGCCAACGATCAAACGTGGCACATTCTCAGCTACATGCTGCTGCCCCTCGGCTGACAGAGCGCCAAGGGCTGTCAAGGGAATTAAACATGCTTCAAAAATTAGACATGAATCTGAAACCAGGGCTGCCCTTGATTCATGAATCTCCCAGCTCGAGCTCTGGCTTTTCCCTGTTTTCACGCAGAGACTGGATGCGGATAAATACGGTCCCCTCCCTGTCTAGCCAAAAATGCAATAGGAAAGTAGAAAGGGACATTGCCCAGAAAGGCTTTGAAGAGTGATATGGATGAGAAGAGTGGCCATTGCGGCAAGGAAGGGATGAAAGGTTGAAAGATTGAGAGTGGCCCACCCCGCACAGTGTGGGACGCCTTCCCTTGCCGCAGGTACCAAGGGGATGCCAGAGAGGGCCTAATCTGAGTGATTTGTATGGGGGATGCCCACACTTGAAGGGGATGCCTTTTCGAGCCTCGATTCATTTAAGCCGACTGTAAGACATGTGTGATTTCTGGCTAGCCGCTTTTTGATTGTTCTTTTGGCAGAAACATGGGCAACAGCTTTTGTACTTGTTTGAGCTGTTTTTGTTTGTTTTGTTTGCTGCAGCGAAGGGCTGGGTTGCTGGGTGCCAAATTAGGTGCCTTGAAAGTCGTGTTAGCTGAACGTGGGTTAGGAACAGGGACGATATTTATCAAAGAGGGTGGTTTGTCAAGCGGGTACTGCCGGGTTTTGGTATATCCTTGATGGTAGTGCGGGGCCCAGAGTAAAGACTTCCATTCGGGGGCTGTAGGGGTCGTGACAAAAAAAGGCGTGTTTCCGCATGTTCTTTCCATGCCGAAACGGAAGTCAAAAAGAGAACAGCAGCTATTTTGGGGGGTTCCCTGTCTAAACATATGCCTCTATGGGGAACGACTCTCGGCGAGGTACTTATTCCCCAGGTCGCCCAGTACCAGTTGGGGGCTCGAGCCTTGGATTTCGGCTTGCTTTGAGATTCGAGGGATTCCACCGGAGGTAGTGGAAACCCATGTCCTTTGCCCCGTTGATTTCGTACTTCAGGGTTGCATATGGAGCAAGGCAGTTGAGCAAAGTTTAGGGACCAAGCCACTCAAACCACTTGAAGGCGATGGTTTTTGTGGAAAACGCTGGGGCGCAGGTTGCTTTCACGTAAAAGGGGCAGGTTTGAACCATTGGACGGTATGGGATCTTGAATGGTTGACCACCCGAAAAGGTCGTCCCTGCTTTCTGGACACATGTGGCATGAGCAATCTTGTGGGGATGCCCGGAAGAACCTGGTTCTCTCAATCCTGGGCTTGTAACTAGCCCCAAACTCTCTTCATGGCAGTTTCCTTCAATTTCAATCAAGGAATCCTTGGGTGAATGGGTTTTGCCGCAAACGGTGACGATATCTCGCTTCGAACCCAGAGTTGAAGTCTTCCACGGCAAACTCTGTCCCGAAAGTGAACATGTTGGGATTGTGTGGGTGGTTTCCATGTAACCACCGTGGCAAGGGTCATCTTGAGGATTTCACTTCAGTGAACCAAGCAGTAGACTCGCTAGATGCCTTACAGCGTCCAGTTGCAAAATGCGCGAGTGCGAGGTATAATTTGCCCTGGGAAAGCTGGTGGAGAACCACAAAGGAGGCGGCCTTCCGACCAGGGCTGGGCTTTTAACCTGCATTGGGTTTGTTCTAAATGGAAAACCCCCCAAAATGGCTGGGGTTTCCTTTTGGTTCCCTAAAGATGCTCATGAAGCGGGTTTGCACGTGTTTCAAGCTATTTAGAAAGGGTTGGCAACGCTGGCTTTGCCTGCGCTTCCTTCGAAGCCATTGCCATTCAAAAATGGGGGGCGCTCTGTCTGTCTCTCTCTCTCTCTCTCTCTTGTGAGTGCTGTCTGTAAAGCCATTCTTACGACGATGTGTTTCCTCTAAACCCATTAATCTGTGGCTTTTGCGCCACACGTTCGGCTGATCCCGTGCTTTTCCTTTCATGGCGTGTCCCACCGTTTCCTGAGACTGGGAGGCGTCACCTTTGGGAATGTGAGTTTCGAGAAGGGAACTGCTGGGTTCATGCCAAAACCCTCCATACCTGTCACACCAACTCGAGTGTGCAAAAACGCGAAGCCAGGTTTTGTCGGCTGCGCAGAAATACCGGGCCTTCGACATCTTGGTGCTGCTTCTGCAGCTAATGCAGGCCACGACTTGGCGCTTTGGGCTTGAGGGTTGGGGCACATTTAGAGGCCGAACAAGGACAAACATGTTTTTCCCTTATTTGGTGTACTATAGTACCCCTTCAACTTAAGATGACCTTCACATCTGTGCCGCTCCTAGAGTGGTTGATTCCCCTTGAGGGTGTGCCACACTTGGCCCGGAAAAGAAAAAGAAACACCAACGGGTGGCAAAGAGGAGCTCGTCCTCTCGAAGGCGGTCTGTGTACGTGTCACTGGATTTGATGGAAATGCACATGTCCACCAAAGGAACATTCCATACGGGTTTGTCTCAACACAGGGGTACCATGATTTCCTGAAGATGGCTGGATTGCTCAACAGTTTTGGTTCCCCTTGAAATGCCAACCCAAAGGGGTCCACCATTTTGGGAAACACCGATACCCAGAGCTTCAGCCGTGGCCGCAGCCTCAGGAGAAGAGTGAGCATGTCATTCAGAGCCTGCCAGCGCGAGCCTGAGTTCGCTGTCGGTGGATTCCCAGAATCCCTCGTTAGATGCGGTGAATTGCCACACTTTCCCTTGAAATCCCAATGTCGACCCAGGACGTGCTCAGCCTGGTGGATTTGGGGGTAGGACTTTTTCCTCCCAAAGGTGAAGGACAGAACTGCAATTTTTGGGGCATCCACATCCCGTGCAAGGAGTATTTGTTCCAACACCAATCCTTTTTGGTACTCAATCTAAATGGCACAAGGTGGCACTAGGGTTCAAAAGGTTCCACACATGTTTTTCCCATCCAACAGAAGCTTCTTTCTCAAAACAAGGGAGCAGTCTTTTTGCTGTTTCCTTTTGGTTTCCTTCCAAAACACCCCAAGCGGCATCACTTCGAGAAACTCCGCTTCTGTTTGGCACCGGGGGGTGCCGTCTCGACAGGTCTGGAGCGAATCGAGAAGAAAAGCCGTCAAAGAGGCGCGCCGACCCGCACGGCTCCACAGACGATTCAAATGGTTTTCGGGGATGGATCGCAAAAGAGGGAGGTTCCCATGCACCAGCCAGTCTATTGTTTAAACAACCTCGTTCATGGCTGTGGAGAATAGGGAAAAGAACCGGCCATGTCCTGTGCTAAGGGAATCCACTTTTAAGCGATCACGTATTCAATGACCAGAAAGTCGATTATCCGCAGCCAACCTCCGCTTTCTTTCCCTTAAAAGGGACTATGGGGGGATTGTGAAGAGAGGGGCCTGGCGGAACGCTGGGGATGTTTTCCAGGTGCTATGTCAGTGGGGTGACATGGACGAGACTGCGATCGTGGAAACTCTCTCGGCCTATGGTGCCTTGGCGTGGCAATTCCCAGCAAGAGATGAGAGTGACTCTTTACGGGTCTTTTTGTTCCGCTTTAATGGGAAGTCAACTGAAGCCAAATATTTCGAGGGCACACTAGCTACACCCTTCAGCAAGGGATTTCCATTTTGAGCAATTTTGCTCCGACCGCTTTCCCAGTGTGTTTGCAAGGTGTTGACCTCTGAATTCCTGAACAAATATTACCGCGACGAAATATATTCATTCCATATTCAATAACTGGATATTGAATATACAAATATATACGATAATTGGTAATATTGATATTAAATATATTAAATATATATATATATATAGTATTATATTTGAAATTATATATATATAATTTGAATTTATCTTAGATATATTAATTAAATTATATATTTATTATATTTATTATTTAATTGTTTGGTATTGAAATATATATATATATATTTAAATAATTATTATGGTATAATTGAATAATATATATATATATTAAATAAATTAATATTTTATTATAGAATTATTATTGTTATTGCGTTATAAATTGGTATGATCTCGGGGTATTACGTTGTAGCGGTATCTCGGCCTCTCTGCCTTGCTGCCTCTTTGTTTCTCTGTTTCTTTGTTTTTCTCTCTCTTTATCTTTGTGTATCTCTACCTCTTTGTGTTTTTGTGCGTCTCTGTGTCTTTCTGTGTCTTTGCGTCTCTATATCTCTGTATTTCTGTCTCTTTCTCTCTCTTTCTCTCTCTTTGTCTCTCTCTGTCTGTCTGCTTGTCTGTATGTCTGCTTTTTTGTTTATTTGTTTCTATTTGTTTGTTTGTTTTTGTTTGTTTGTCTGTTTGTTTCTGTTTGTTTGTTTGTTTGTCTGTCTGTCTGTGTGTTTTTGTCTGTCTGTCTGTTTGTATGTTTCTGTCTGGCTGTTTGTTTATTTTTGTCGGTCTATTTATTTGTGCTTGTTTGTCTCTATTTGTTTCTTTATTTGTCTTTGTTTGTTTTTGGTATGTTTTTTTTTTTGTTTTTATTTGTCTTTTTGCTTGTTTGTTTTTGCTTGTTTGTTTTTGCTTGTTTGTTTTTTTGTTCGTTTTTGTTTATTTCTTTTTTGTTTTTGTTTGTTTTTGTTTGTTTGTTTTTATTTGTTTTTATTTTTTAATTTTTTGATGTTGTTTTTATTTATTTTTGTTTGTTTTTTATTTGTTATTGTTTAATGTTTTGTTTTGTTGTCGTTTGTTGTTTGTTGTTTGATTTGTTTAGAGTTGTTTGGGATTGTTTGTTGATTGTTTTTTTTTTTTTTTGTTTTTGTTTGTTTGTTTTTATTTGTTTTTATTTTTTAATTTTTTGATGTTGTTTTTATTTATTTTTGTTTGTTTTTTATTTGTTATTGTTTAATGTTTTGTTTTGTTGTCGTTTGTTGTTTGTTGTTTGATTTGTTTAGAGTTGTTTGGGATTGTTTGTTGATTGTTTTTTTTTTTTTTTTGTTTTTTTTTGTTTGTTTTTTTGTTTGTTTTTGTTTGTTTGTTGTTTATGGTTTTTGTTCTATATTTGTTATTGTTTGTTTGTTGTTTGTTAGTGTTTTATAGGTTATTGTTTGGTGTTGATAGTATTATTTATATATTTTTAATTATATATTATTATTATTTTATTATTTTTTTATTATTATATATTTATTATTATATATTTATATATTTAAGGATATTTATATATTTAATGATATTTATATATTTAATGATGTTTATATATTATTATTTATTTATATATTAAAATCAATAAAAACTTATTTTACTTATTTTTATTTATTTGATTGATGCTTTTATTTATTTGATTGATGCTTTTATTTATTTGGGATGGTTTTTATTTGTTTTTATTTATTATTATTTGCTTTTATTTGCTGTTACATTATTACTTTTATTTATCATTTTTATTTATTATTATATTTTTAGATAATTATTTTTTATTTATTTTTGTTTGCCTTTGATTTTATTTATTTTATTATTTTATTATATATTTATTTAGACATTTTTATTTATTTATTTATTTTTATTTATTTTTTGATTTCTTATTTATTATATTTGTTTTGTATTTTTTTCTATTTGGTTTTATTTGACTCTATTAATTTCTATTTATCTTTATCTTTATCCATTTGCCTCTATTTATCTATTTCTATTGCTTACCTCTATTTGCCTACCTGTATTTATTTATTCTTGCTTCTGTTCATTTTTGCCTACTTACCTTGATTTATTTCTATTTATTATCCAATTCTATATATTTCTACTTGTTTCTATTTACCTTAACCTATTTCTGGCTACCTTTATTTACCTCGCTTTATTTCTATTTATATCTATTTTTCTTCTGCTTGCCTCTATTTGCCTCTATCTGCCTCTGTTTGCCTCTACCTACCTCTGCTTGCCTCTATTTGCATGTGTTTGATTTTGCCTGTCTCTACTTGTCTTTGCCTATCCCTATCTCTGTTTGCTTCTGTTTGCTTCTGCTTATTTTTGCCTTTCTTTGCCTTTGCCTGCCTTGTTACTTGGTTTTGTTGCTTAATACTATTATGGGTCATTATTGGAAACAATACATCTTTCCAATAACATATATAATAATTATATTTTTTATTTTTTACTATAATATAATATTATAATAATTATATATATATAAACATAATTTTAAAAGTAAATATATATATATATATAATACAATTAATAAATATTTATTATGAAATTTAAATAATATAATATTAAAAAATATATAAAATTAATTTTTTTAATTTTTAATCTTAAATTAAAATAATATAACCGATAAAGATATAATATAAATTCGAATAATATTTATTCGTAATTTATATTCTAAGATATTATTTAAATTAGTTTTATAAAATTATAATTATAGAATATAGGTTTAAATATAAAAATAATCATTTAAATCTATAATATTAATTAAATCTATTTCATAATTTTAATATTATTTACTATTTTAAATATTCATTTTTTTAAAATATATTAATTATATTTATTATTTCAAATATATTTTAATATAAATTATATTTTATTCATTTATATATAATAATTCAATTTATATTAAATTAAAGAAATTCCATTATTTCCAATAACGATTTATAATAATGCCAAGCAACAAGATCAAACAACAAGGCAGAAGTAAGAAGAGGCAAACAAAGGCAAATAAAGATAAGCAAAGATAAGCAAAAGACAAGCAGAAGCAAACAAAAGTAGGTAAAAGCAAGCAAAAGCAAACAAAAAACAAGCAAAGACAAACAAAACCAATCAAAAGGTAAACAGAGAATAAACAAAAAATAAATAAAAAAATAAACAAATATTTAAAAAATACCCAACACCAAATAGAAATAAATACAAAAGAGAAATAAACAAAAAAAACAAAAATAAATAAAAATAAATAGATAAAACTAAAACAAAATAAACAAAAATAAACAAATAACATTTTTTTTTTTTACAAAACCAAATAAATAAATAAACATAAAAACAAACCAAAAACAAAAATTAATAAAAAAACAAAAATAAATCAAAATCAAATAAAAATAATCAATCATAATATAACAATCAACATAAATACTTAAAAAAATAAAAAAATAAATAAACAAACTACATAAACAAATAAATAAAACTATACAAAAAACAAAACAAAACAAATAAAAAAAAATAAAAAAAATAAAAATAACTAAATAACAATAATCAAAATCAAAAAATAATCACAAAAATAAATAAACAAACCAAAATAAATAAATAAAATAAATAATTAAATAACTACTTAAATAACAATAAATAAATAACAATATTTAACAAAAAATAAATAATAGACAACAACAAACGAAAACGAAAACGAAAACGAAAAAAACAACAACAACAACAAACAAACAACAAAGACAAACAAAAACACCCACCACACAACAACAAAATGAGAAACAAATAAAAACAAACAAAAACAAAACCAAAGACACATTAAAATATATAAACAAAAACAAACAAAAACAAAGACAGACAAAGACAGAAACAAACAAAGACAGACAAACAAACAAACACAAACAAAAACAAAAACAAACAAAGACAGACAGAGACAAATAGACAGAAGACAAACAGAGACAATCAGAGACAAACAGCGGACAAACAAAAACAGACAGAAACAGACAGCAGACAAAGACAAATAGAAACAAATAGAGATAGACAGAAACAAGCAAACAGACAAACAGACAGAAAAAAAACAAACAGACAGACAGACACACACAAATAGACAGACAGACAGAAAAAAAAAACAAAAACAGACAGACAGAAACACACAGACAAACAGACAGACAGAAACACACAAATAGACAGAGAGACAGAGAGACAGAGAGAGAGAGAAAGAAAGAAAGAAAGAAAGAAATAAAGAAACAAAGAAACAAAGAAAGAACAAATAAAGAAAGAAATAAATAAAGAAAGAAAGAAAGAAAGAAAGAAAGAAAGAGAGAGAGAGAGAGAGAGACAGAAAGAGACAGAGACACAGAAGAACACAAAGAGACAGAGACACAGAGACACAGAAGGACACAAAGACACAGAGACGCACAAAAACACAAAAAGAGATAGAGGGAGAGAAAGACATAGAGACCGAAAGACAGAGAGACAAAGAGGCAAAAAGACAAAGAGACAGAGCAACAGAGAGAAAGAAAGAAAGAGAGAAAGAGAGAAGATCTGAGAGCCGGGTGGCCGGAAGCGACCCAAAAATTGGGAGAATTTGGCCAGGTTATGCCGCGAGAACTCTGAGCGAAGATCTGAAGAACCCCCAAAAGTTCGGCAAAATTTCGGGGACTTCCGGGCCGCGCGAAGAGGCAGGAACTTGCGCCGCGGAGAAAGGCCCGGGACGGGCACAGCCGCTCGCCGCAAGCACGACGGCACGACGATTCGGCCGGAGTACCGCTACGACAGCTCTGCGGCGCACGCGAAATGCGACCCCGAAAGGGCGCTTGCGCAGCGGCATGGCAAAGAAAGCCGAGCCCAGCATAGAGCCACCTGAGCCTGCGGGCACGGCAGTCCAGGCAAGGGCATGCGACAAAGCTGAGAGCCAAACAGCAGAAAAGCGAGAGTATGACAAGAACAGCCGGGTTTCAGCAGACCTGGGAACTCTGCAAACAGAGCAACGAAGCCTCATGCGCATGGACCCCCGGGCGTCGCGAAGCGTAGCCAAGGTGCTCGCGACCTGAGCTGATGCAGGCAACAGAGCAAATCGACTGGATGTAAAGCCCGGCACGAAATTTTCCGGAAATTTCGCCTCGGACAAGTCCCCAAATTTCCCGAATATTTGGCCCGTTAGTTTCTTCGGAAAGCCGCCAAACTGTGAAGAAATTTGCGGGGGTTACGTCCGGAGATCAAAATTCGGGAAAATTTGGCCGGGCTCTGCCGCGAGAGCTCTGAGCGAAGATCCGCAGAACCCCCCCCAATTTCGGCAAAAAATTCAGGGACTTCCGGGCCGCGCGAAGAGGCAGGAGCTTGCGCCGCGGAGAAAGGACCGGGACGGGCACAGCCGCTCGCCGCAATCACGACGGAACGACGGGGTACCGCTGCAGCGGCTGCGCGGTGCATGGGAAATGCGACCCCGACGCCGCACCGGTTTATGAGAATATTAATTATATAATATAAATCATCAAATTATTATCAATACCCAAGAAATACATTTCAATCCCACCAATAATAATTATTCAATCAATCAATATTTCATCAAATACAACAACATATCCCAAACATTTTCAATTTCCCATTCCAATCAATAAAATCATGTCTAAAAGAAAGAAATAACATATAAATCAAAATTCAATTGATTTTAATTTATAAATCTATTCAATAATCATTGTTAACACATCAAACACAAACTCACAATTATAATTATCATAAATCCATTCTCAAACAAAATACAATTATCATACATCAAACCAGTTTTAAATATATCAACAAAGTATACTATTCACTAACTTCAATTAATTATCTAAATATCATGTATAACAAATACATCAACATTATCTATACTACATATATATATATATATAATATAACAATATAATATATAATATGTTATTCGTAATTTAACTACTTCAAATTTAGATATTGTAATCATTTGCCATCATTACTATTATTGTTGTTCGGACACATTAATAATGTATATATATATATATATACATGTTTATGCACCCATTTATTAGATTGTATTATTATGCAATTTCATGCTGGCATATTGTCCTAGCGTGCATCGTGATATTTGCATAATGTGTATCTCGAAGGACATATAATTCATATACAGTTTGATGATCTTTCGTTGTTTGTTCTGTTGAGGATCTATGCTGATGTAAGACATCAGCATGCGATGCAACAACCTGGCCCTACGCAAATTATCTAGGCAAATTATCACAGAGCCTTTCCTCCCCTCCCCTGACAATTATCAAGAAGCTTTCTGCTTGGTGCCTGTCAGATTGCTGAGGATGGAAAGGCTTCCCCCTACTCAGAACGTGCACGTGCACGCCAAATGCCTCTGCCATGGCATCCTCTGAATTACGTCTGCAGCTCACATCCTGGCTGCTCATGTTGGAGGCAACTGACGCTATTTGTTTGCGCACTTGCCACCTGGGAAAAAATCGGCGGATGGAAAAGCCCAAAGGCTAGCCTCATCTGCAAGGCACTTTGAACCTTAAGGACTGATGGTCTGACAACAGTTCATGTTCCTGCAAGCTGCTTGGTTTCCTGGTGACTTTCCTGCAAACCAATCCAAGATGGGGTTCCCCAACTTGTGACAGACCCAGTCAGGTCTCACCCTTGCTCAACCAAAACAGCTGGACTCCCCCAACTTGCGAAGTCATCAATCAGTTGTCCAACAAGGACGACTCACTGCCACGTCCGAAGAAAGGACCTCAAAATGAGGCGCCCCTGCAAGCGGCAAGCTGCGAGTCGCTTCTTTTCTTCCGAGGCCGAGTTCTTTGCCGCAACGATTTGGATTGGACTCAGGTCTCTGTCCGACTTGCTTGAAGCGCATGGGCTTCATTAGATCTCCTCGAGAGACTTTGGCCTTTGGGGCTTGGATGCGGCTTTGAGTTGAGAAGTTGGTTTGCTTGTGAATTACATGGAGTCTCCGCGTACATTCGCCCGTTTCCTCCAGGTATTCGTCCGTAAGATTGGGGCATCATTTTTTGCCCCTACTTTGTAACATTGACGCATCTGCTTGTAAATCCAAGTACTCCGCATCCAAGACGCCACTGGAGATCACAGCCTGAAACAAGCGATCTCCATGTCTGCGGCGAAGGTCTCCTGAAGATACTTGAGGACCTTCTTCACTTCAGCCTGGGTCTCAGATGGGTGTTAACCCCACACAGTTCAGGCTTCAATTTTAGCTACCCTTCAGATAGTGATACTCTCTGAGTCCAGGCTCTGCTTGCTTAGGTCCGAGGTTTCAACTGCACGACACTTCTTGAAGAGGTATCCAGCGTGTGAGAGGTTTCCAGCGGGAAACCATATGAGGTTTTCTTTGTTCAGGGTATCTGTGTTGTGGCTGTTTTAAAGGGATATCAAAGGGACACCACCATGCTTTTGGGCTCGTCCCTCCACTCACCTCTCTGGTTCTCAATTTCCTGTGTGCTAGTCCACATGGAAGCCACTCGGGACCCGGTCGACCCCCCCCAGTGAGGTTCCATGTACCCAGTCTTTTCCACTGTAGCTGAAAGACAGCCTTTCGTAAAGAGAGGCCTGAACAAGCATGGAAATGAAGGGGCTTGAACTGTGGGTGAAAGGTGAACCCACACACACGCACACACACACATTAGTACATATACAGTGCGCATCTCTCCACATACACAATAAGTTGACATACGTATACTTTAGTCATGTTCATGTTCATGTAAACACATTGTCCATGGATACACAATACACTTCTCTGCGCATATATATATACATATATATGTATATAACCCTACACACATACCATACTTTGTCAATCCTTGCCCGTGAAAGCCAGGACCCTGCAACGCAGCCATCCGCTTCCCAGGTGCGGTTTCGGGTGGGTTGAGGATCGCCAGCCCGGAGCCCAGCAAAGCGCCGCGGCCGCGCGCCAAGGTCGCGGGGAAGAGCTCGGCGATGAGCATCGGCAACTCCAAGGCCTGTCGGAAGCTCAGATCCCATTTGGCTGTCAAACATGTGTACCCAAAATGGAATCCTGGTAAATGGAAACATGGACTAAAACCTGCGGTCCCCCGCTGGTTTTATTTTGACCCATACCCATTTAGGGAACCAACCAAACACCGGGGGTTAGTCACCCTGCTCCAAAGATATGCAGGGAAGCGACTAAACAGAAAGAAGTGGAGAACTGGGGAATCCAAAGCCAAATGGAAGTGGTAGGCGCTGCATCAAAAAGAACTCCCCCCGCCCCAGGCTGACCCTGAAAGCCCAGCCAGGAGACCTACAGGTTGGGGGATAAGCCATGCGGTTTAAGTCTCTACATGTCTGGTTGCCACCAAAAGCATCGTCCTTTTGCTTGCTTGGTCCCATTTCTTTTTGCGGACACCCGAGAAAGAGCACAAGAGGCTTCACTGAGAAGGGCTGGGCCGGGTGGCAGGCTCTCGGGGCAACTCTTTACACTCAACATGGCTTTCAGATGTTGCCCTAAAACTCAACTACCCTTTTTTTGTTGACCAAACCTCACATGGAGATCCTTCTGTATGGGCGAATTAATGAAACAGGCTATCCTTCATTCTGTCTGTTCCGATCATGATCCTTCCCTCCCAAAACAACTGGACACAACTAATCTTTATCCAGCGGTGTTTGCCGAAGGGGATGCTGGACATTGCTCAACGAGAAATCAGGACACCAACCCAAACACTAAAAGCGCTAAAAGGGGTTGCTTGCCCTTTAGGCTTATCCAGCAAGGAAACACAAGCAAACAGGCTAGGAAAACGTCTGGCAATGCAACCAAACGTTGAACTTTTTGCGGTTTCCTGGACCGCCTGGCAATGTAGATCTGTCGTTTGTTGAGGTCCAGTGTCCTTTTTGGGATTGCTTTAAAGGGAAATTAAAGGGGACACCAACATCCATTTTGCGGCCCTGAATAACAAAAACAACAGACCTACTCCGAATGCAAATTTGGATACCCCAATCGCGAAACAGCTCCCTTGTAAACATGTTCCCTGCACAAACGACCCCCAACTCAGACTCGGTCTTTGCACTTGGCGCGCCTCGAGTCGCAGGCGTAAGCTTTGCCGCTGCTCGGGGTCTGACAGCGGGTACCACATCGCTACACAGCTCTCCGGCAGCGCTTGGTGGAGCCTCGCGGCAGCCAAAGACCCACGTCTCCAACGAAACCTTTGCATTTTACCGTTGGTTCTGTGGTTGGCTGCGGTGGAATGACTTATCAAAGGTGGGAAATTCAAAGGTCCCCTCAACTTCTCAACTTGGCCCATTTGCACAGTTTCTGAGAGACGGGCCTTCATGGGGCCAGCTTCATGCCCCTATCTCAAAAAAAACTCCCACAAAATCGATGGCTTTTTTGGACTTTCCCTGGACTGTCCGCCTCTGGACAGCCGCGAGGTTCAAAGTCAAGTACTCGTTGTAGGGCTCGTAGGGCGGATCGATCAGTACCAAAACTCGTCCATCCAGTGCAGCATCCTGAAGGGCTAATTTCAGGTTGAAAGCGTGCAACCGCACAAATAGGTTGGTGCAATAGGGCACAAAACAAATCAAAAATATGAATGTTCAACAGTTTTTGCAAGTTTGGTTTTGGACAAGCTCATATATTCCCTTCAAACGCCAAACACAAATTCTCTCCAGTCGTTCAGTCACATTCAATTACTCTGGAAGAAGAAGGGAACCCTTGTTAGTCGACCGTTGCCACTGAGCCCAGCCTGAAGCCAGGTGTATGAATTTGCGTGCACGGTGTGGATGCTATCCTCGGTTGCCAAGGCCTTGCTTGATGTCTGTAGCATTCAGGAACTAAATAATTACTCATCGTTTACGCCTGTAATCATGACTTGGTTTGGTTTTCAAGTACCCACCAACCTCGTTCGAATTACTTAGGCCCTCAACATCCCTTAACACCAAAGCTCCGGCGAAACGCTTTCCATGTCTAAGCTCTCCTGCCTTTCGCGTCCCGAAAGCTGTTTGCTTATTTGCTTGCTTGATTGTTTGCTCGTTTGCTTGATCTTTTGCTTTTGTTCATTTCTCTCTCTCGCTCTCTCTCTCTCTCTCTCTCTCTCTCTCTCTCTCTCTCTCTCTCCTCTCTGTCAAAACCAGGGGCCCCCCCGTTGTCCACTTTTCAACAAGGATACCAGCAAAGAACACCATGCCTGCTTGCAAAAGGGTTGTCCTTTCGCCACGTGGAAAGAACCAAACACGTCGGTTTCCTCCGGATGTGGTCTTCAAAGCCCAACGCTAGACACAAATCCTTTGGGGCGCGGTAGGGTACCTCATGCCCTGCCAAAATGGTTGGTTTCCTTTTGGTTTGAACTGGGAGCTTCTGCTCACTCTGTGCTCAGACCTGCCATGGGAAAAAGACCCTGCCAAAAAAGAAGACAACCATCATGGACCTCCAAGGGGGGGGGGGCGGGGGCTATTTTGGGCTTCTCCAGGGGTAGCCCCCGCCTAGCCCTTTGCTGGGTGTTTGGTGCTCCCACCTCATCCGAAAACCGCCCCCTTGCGAGGCCAAGGTGCGGGCGCGGGCGAGACACTCTGCTTTAGAGCGCGGAACACTGAACCCGAGGCTTCCAGAAACCAAGCGGAGTCGTGCGGCCGAAGGAACGCCCGCGCCAGCATGGGGGAGCCAAGGTAGAACCTGACACGTCTCTAGCTTTGTGTGGGAAATTCGCCTTGTGATTCCGAAGCCCTAAAGCCCAACATTGTCCATAACCTTTCTAGCGGAAGGAAACAGGCCAACCATCTTGGGGGCATTCACTTTGTACAGATAAAGTTCTGGCAGTTTTGGAGCATGTACCACAAGGTTCAGGAACTCTTTGGCGGTTCCTCAAAATGAGAGAGGGACTCTGGTCTCAACAAGAAATAGACTCCGTTGACTTACCATATAAGGTACACAACTCTCTGCAACCATCACTTCGCGCCACTAAACAATCCCTTCGATTTGCTTGAGATAGATGTCACTACTTCCCCTTCCGAAACCAACAGGATAAACAGACAAGTCTTGAGCAAATGACTCCAACAATTGAAGACACCTTTCTGGGCTATGGAACACCCGTCGAAAACCTCACACACCACCAAGAGCATGCGGAACAAGGGATCCTTTCTTGGAGCTGTTGAAAGGGACACCAGAAGGACAACCCTTCTGGAAAAGCGAATCACCAACAAAAAGGGAATCCTACCCTTAAAACCAAACGCAACAAAGAGTTCTTCAAACCAGCCAAAGCTCACAACGGACTCAACCAGCCAATCCTGTTCTGGGTGCCTTGTTGAAACGGCCACTCAGGGAGCCAGTGAACCAACCAATTTACTCTCAGGATTGGACGCTGTTTTTCGGTTTCTTTCGATGTCGCCCCGCTCCGCGCCTGGCGCTTTCTCGGTTGAAGTGTCGGATCCGAGCCAAAAACTGGGCGATGGCCAAAGGCGCGGAGCTCGACGTCCTATCCGCGATCCACAGAAAGGCCCCGTCTTTTGGTCTCAATTCGGTCTAAAACGGTTTGGCGCCAAATGGTTTGGTCCTGCTTTGGCCCATGTTTTCACTGTAGGTACAGCTGGTATCTGGATACAGTTTGCGTACCCGTAGTACCCTTTAGGCACCCCATAGCTTGTGTGGTATTTTCCAGGGGCACGTACCCGGGATACGAGGCCAGGACGCTCAAACATTCAAGCTTTGATTTTCCGCTAAAATGGTAACAAGTGCCAGCCAGGTCGGCTAAGTGGACAGCTGAATTTGGTGCATTGGAGACCTCCCACTTGTGGAGCTCACGGGCAAAAACCCGTCAGGTTGATGATCTATTTGCCTCACACAGGTTTAATCTCCAAAGCTGCCGTTTGGACACCCTTCTTGTGGTAAACAGTTAATGCTCTCCATAGGAACAGTGCGGCTTTGGTGCTGAACCGGGCGCAAGCAAACCTGAACGACGAACAAGTCCTCTCAAGCACGTTGATGCCGCGTATGAAGTTGCCCCACTCACCGGCTTCAGCAGAATGGAGGTCGTAAATGCCGCGCCCTGGCGAAAACGAGGAACTGGTGTTCCAAGTCTAAGGCGGTAAGGCTACCAAGCCACGGGAAAATGGATACATATGTATATACAAAAAGACATGCATGCCTTTTGGGGATTTGTAATTTGGTATGAACATGAGCAAGCCTTTCGGGGTCATTTATTTTTCCAAAATGGCTCTCGACGAGATGACTTTGGAAGTCTACTTTATTTTCAGGGAAGCCCCAAATGTCCACTTCCATGTGCAAACACCCCTACACTACCATCTCCTTACAGAACTCCTGGTAGCTCCTTAGCTGACTCTGTAAAGACAAATTTGGATACCCCCGGCTCCCTTTTCAACCACTAGTTTCGCGGATGATCGTGAGGCTTCTCCACACCAGGCTTGGTCCGAAGAACCTGGAAAAGTACGTTTGGTCATCCATCATCTTTGAGGTTGGGATCAAAGCTGTACACCTCTAGGGTTGAATAGAACCAACGCTCCGTGGATTGTGAGCACTTCTCCGGTGAGCATCAAACAAGAGCACTTGTTCATCTCGTTCTGACTTGCGCTTTCTTATACCATTCACAACATAAATTTTGAGAGCCCGTCAGAATACAATTTCAAGAAACCAGCGCAAGAATCCGGGATCCTGCATGTGTGTCGACGTAGGTGAAGGGGCGTTCATCCACCAGGAAGCGCTGCAGCAACAGAACAAGCCTGAGTCAACCGGGAGAACATGGGGAACCCTCTACAGTGCGTCAAAATGGGCGTCTAACAATGGTCTTCTCTTGATTTCCCCGTCAAGTTGCCTCACAAGCTCATTTCCTCACCCACAGGAACAGGCGAAGGATCCTGTAGAGAGGCCATGCCCTTCCAGAGCACAGCTCGGCTTCCCAGCGGGTTTGGCTTGGCTTCCCAGTGTTTGGTCAGCTTCCCTGGCTTGGATTCGCGGTTTCGGGGTTTTCCGCTTTCCCTCAAAAACCTGTGGTTCAACTTCGCGAACCAATCCAAATGACCAAAGGCTCATCTGAGCCTCATGAGACAAATGGCACCGAGCCCTGAGCTCCGCGGCCAATTTTTCACGATAGGACGGAAAGTATCGGTCGTGATTTCAGGCTTCAACGTGCAGGGTGATTCTGGTTCATGTTGAGATGTTGTCAAAACTAAGGCGCCGTTTCATGAAACTCATTGCCCACAATTGGAAGGGAGGCCACAAAGCGCCCACAATCCTTGTGACCTCCTCATCTGACAATGTGGAGAAATGCCACCCAAAAGAAACCATCTCTGAAACGAGTGGCACGCAGTGCTTGAAGCAGTCAACGATGCTACCGGCTTGCTCGTTGTGATCGTAGACTTCGTCCACTGTGGTCCTTGCTTTCGCATGAGACGGGCGTCGGTTTGGGTTGTGCCGCCTTCAAACGGTGTTCCATGAAGAAGCCCTCTCAATAATGTTCCACCCCTCGCCTGCGGGTTTGCTTGTCTGACTGCCAGGCAGAGAATTCCAATCCGCAAAAATTGTCAAAAATGGTACAACTGTAGACTGTGGACCATCATTAAGCACAGGCATTCCCATTGGCAGCTCACAAACAAAGATACCATTGTGCAAATGGGGTTGAGTGACGACACCACGCCTATGCAAAATCCTGAGGACCACATACACATAGGGGCATATTGGGGAAAGGGGCAAAAACTAGCGTTCCCGAGAAAGGGCACAGGAAATTTGTGCGCTTCCCTAATGAACCGTCTCTCTCAAATGGATCCTAGCCATATCAGGATATCTTGCTTGCCTGCAACATGCCTGAACGTGTAATTCGCCACAGTTTATTAAGACCCCAGTTTTGGTTAAGTCAAGCTTCAAACAATTCGGGTCAGTTTCTGCTTTTCATGTCCCAGATGCACGGATCTCTTGGTCTCGAAATTGGAATGGATCAAAGCACCCGGGGTGAGGCAAGGGTGTTCGAAAAACAACCGAATCCTTCACTTTTGGAAGGTAAACACCCTCTGAATCTGCCAGGTAAATTCATCCGCGTCCACATTCACTTTACTGACTCATTGATACAAACTCACAAACTTGCGCCAAGGGACCCCTAAAGAGCCTTCACCATGGGTGGATCCTCCAAACTGCAACTGCAAATGGTGGCTCAAATGAAATCCACCTCCACAAGCAATTGCGCCAACCCCCCCAATAATGTGTCCTCCAAGGAGGTTGCTCCAAAAACCGGATCGGCACTGCATGGGCAGCACCAAGGGATAACACTACATACCAAAAAGGAGACTGACTTTAACCGGCCAACGTCGTGCTAAAAACCACCAACGGATTCTTACAGGGAACCAGCCGTTCGCAGGTCTAAGGTCCGGACACGTGGGCTGCCAGGCTCAGGCGAGTCATCTCCTGAAGCAACTGCAGTGTCTGGTTCCAGCAGCCGGCGCCCAGAAACACGTCCATCGTGCTCCAGTAGGACACAGCGTCTGCCTTGCGCAGGCAAGAAAACATGAGTTCTAACATGGGTTGGGATGGGTTGGGAGCAGCAAAACGCTCCTCAACTACGGAAAGAAGAGCAACCAGGAAAAACAACCACGAACAAGCCAAGCAAGCAAGCACGCACACAACCAACCAACCAACGAACTAACCAATCAACCAACAAAACAACGACGAAATAATAATAATAATAATAATAATAATAATACAATTACACCAGCCTCGACCCCAAGCAGCAAAAAACGTGACAGGTCTGTATAAACCAAAAAAGGCTTGTCTCCTTCATGTACGGTGCGAAATTGAGTAGCTTATGTGAGCAACACACAGTTACAATCAGTCTATGTATGTCCCTGTAGTAGGAAGTCCCCTTTTTTGGGAAGAGGACACATCGGGTCCATCCATCTCCTTGACGCCGGGTAGAAGCATCGATGTTGTTCATTGACTTCGAGGAGGAAAATGCCATGTCAATGCCATGTTCGAGAGTGAAGGCTACAGGGATTCGGGGTGAATCAACCTATACACCTGGCATTAATCAAATGAAGTTTCGAAGGAACTTCCACAGTGCGGACGCTCAATGCACTTTTCCATCACCGCAGCATTTGGGTGGCCGTCTCGCTACTCTGCTGAAACTCGCGCATCAGTCTCAGCAGCTTGCGGCCGAGACTGGGCACATGCCACTTCTGGTTGCTATCTTCTTCTCGAGCTCGGCTAAAGGTCTTGCCACTAGCAAAGCAAGAGAGAACTTGCATAAACTTGCAGACTGCGGCGTTAGCAACTCTTATTAGATTTTTACAGCCACCGAACATGTGTCGAAACATGGCCATGTGGCCATGACCGTGTGTTGCAATTACCACATTGAGCACCAGAGCTGCCATTCCGCAATGTTGCTGGGGAGTTCGCGTCCAGCAGCGCCGAAACCTTTTGCGAGAACGGGTCGGAATCAATGTTCAAGGCGTAGTGGAGGCACGTGTTGCTTCGGTGAGCGATGGTCTTGATGCTATCAGCACATCCCTCCAGCTTGGTTTCCCGACAAGCCACGTATGCTGCGAGCAAGTAAATCAGAATCTCGCCCAGAGCTGCCAAATTCAAGTCGAGATCTCGGAAAAGAACGTTGATTGCGAGAATGAGATGGAATTGCTCGCATTTCCAAAAATACTCACTGCGGGGGGCTAGCACAAGCGCCGTGCAACACAGCTCACGTTGAACCCCTTTGGCGTTCCATGGGTCCAGAGACTGTAGGGAAGCTAGCGCCTCAGAGAATGATAATGGCACCTTACGACGTCCCACCATGAAAACCCTTGAGCCCTCGCACTTGCAAGCCCTGAGCACTTTCGGACACGTGCGAAACAGCAGCGTCCGGAATATGTGGAAAACAAGGCTTGGAAATCTGTCTTCAACCCTTCTGTCAGGAGGCAACAAGATACGTCAAAGCCGCGACCTTGGCATCACGAAGGTGTGAAATGCTTCAAGCAAATGCGTTTGTCAGTGGGACTGAATTACATAGGTTGCAAAGAGGAAAAAGTGTTGCAGGATCAGCTAGCGAAGCGAAAGACTGGATATGATTTTGGCCGGGCCACATGACTATCCAACTGAGAAGGTGCTAAATACTGGCAACAAGGCAGGAGGCGAGGTTTACAACAGCACTGCCAACAAGAAAGGGTGCTCGAACAACAGTGATGCTACCAAGAGGAAACTGGAAGATGGGTGGCCCGAAAGCATGAGCAGTGCACGGCGCCAAGTAATGCTAGCAAGTTCTCTGCGCAAGTTCGTCTGAGCAAGTTGTTGGCGCGAGTTCCTTTGAGCAAGTTCTCCAAGCAAGTTCTTGGCACAAGTTTTCTGAGAAAGTTCTCAGAGCAAGTTTCTCTGAACAAGTTTCAATGAGCAAGTTGTCTGAGCAAGCTCTCTGCGCGCAGCGCTTGCCGCAACACACTGCAACTTCGTAGTGCAACTCAATACTGCAACTTGCTAGTGCCACTTGCTGGTGCCACTGGCTAGCGCTACTGGCTCGTGCATCTCGCTAGCGCTATCTTGCTCGTGCTACTGGCTTGCGCCATTTGGCTAGTGGCATTTTGCTAGTGCAACTCGCTAGTGCTACTTGCTAACGCAACTTGCTTGCGCAACTTGCTGGTGTCATCCGCTGGATGTCTTTCCTGCAGCGCTCCTGCATCCCTAGCATCATCAGTCGCCTAGAGCCCCCCTCCCCCCGCCTTATACGATTTTGGCTAAGATGGTGACTGGAGCCGCGCCCCTTCTCCATTCCAAGGGTTTGTTGACTCGGAGCAAAACTGTCAACGAAACCGTCGACTTCTCTGTGGCTCATCACCATCACACACATCATCACCCTCCTTCTCCTCATCATCATCCTCCTCATCCTCGTCATCCTGACCCTCATCGTCACCACCTTCATCAGCCACAGAATCAACAGAATCCTCCTCATCCACCATCACAGCGCTGCAAAAGTCCAAGCTAAATGCTCGAAACCCTCATTGTCTGCCACTTGTCCACCTGCGCACCTGCATTCATGGCTAGCACTCGCAAACGCCAGCCCAGTCTGGTCAACTCGTCTCCCGCTTGTCTCCCTGTGTCTCCCAGTTTCTGCAATCAGAGGCCAGATGCTGTGACGCTCCTGGGTCGTGTCTGCCCGCTTGTCTCCCTGTGTCTCCCAGTGTCTGCGGTCAGATGCCAGATGCTGTGACGCTGGCTCGGGGTCGTCTCCCGCTTGTCTCCCTGTGCTCCCAGTCTCGTCTCCCTGTGTCTCCCAGCCTGCGGTAAAGGAGGGTCCCGGGCAAAACCAACTGAAGCTGCTTCTTCTTTGCAAGTTTTGGGGCTGACCTTGCTTCCAGCTGGCCGTTTTCAATGCTTACAGCCCTCAACAGGAAAAATGAAGGTCCCGGGCACTCACCCAGTTTTGAGGCTGACCTGGCTTGCTTGGCATCCAGTACCCGGCGTTCGGTTCCCTTCGGCTCCCTTCGGCTCACGTGGCAGCAGCGCGCAAGCGCAATTGAGAAGCATCAAAAGCAGTCCAGCTAGAAACATAGATTCAAAGCCAGAAGGAACGACTTGCAAAAATGTTTAGCAATGGGGAAAGGGCATGTCGCAGATTCTGCTGTTAGCCTGTGGCCTGTGCAAGTGCTCTGCACAAGTTACTCTGCGCAAGTCTCTCTGCGCAAGTGTCATTGCGCAAGTGCTCTGCGCAAGTTGCTCTGCGCAAGTCTCCACATCGCTGCCCGCAAGTGCCCTGCGCAAGTTTCTTTGGGCAAGTTGCGATTTTCCAGCCGGAGCTGTAAGAGTGCACTTCCCGTACTACTTTCGCACTTAAAACTTGCGATTTTCAAGCTCCAGCTGCGGGGAGTGGACTTCGCATATTATTTTCGTACTTGAGAGTTACGGCTTTCGCTTGCGAAGCCCGCCCGCGCGCCGGTCCCGGGAGCAGGCACGCGAGCCACGAGACAACTCGTCGCGCGAGCGCCGCAGAAAACGCAAAAAAACCTCGAGTTTTTGCAGCTCGACCACGCCGATCCCGGCAGAGGGTCGCGCGAGCACCGCAGAAAACACAAAACAACCTTGAGTTTTTTTGCACCTCGACCATGCCGATCCCTGCAGAGGGTCGCACGAGCCAAAACAAAATCGCAAAAAACCGAGTTTTTGCGTCTCGACCACGCCGATCCCCGCAGAGGGTCGCGCGAGCTTGCAATGACTCTCATGACTCCTTGCGCTTGCCACTTGCAATGACTCTCATGATGATGACTCTCATGATGATGACTCTCATGATGATGACTCTCATGATGGTGACTCTCATGATGGTGACTCTCATGATGGTGACTCTCATGATGATGACTCTCATGATAATGACTCCTTGCATGACTTTCATGACGATGACTCCTTGCAATGACTCTCATGATGATGACTCTCATGATAATGACACCCTGTAATGACTCTCATGACGATGACTCCTTGCAATGACTCTCATGATGATGACTCCTTGCAATGACACCCTGCAATGACTCTCATGAGAACAACTCAAGTGGTTCCAGTGGAAGAACCCTTCGCCATGCTTTCGGGAATATACTGTGACATCTGGCTCATTGCTTTGCTCAGGACACTGAGCTGCTTTTTAGAAGCCAGTGCCGCACTTTTTGGCCAAGTGCAGGTTTGCATCCTTGTGGCGCATCAGCAGAGCCCTGTCGAGCCTTAAATATGACAAGAAAATCGCTTGGATCCTGAAAGCATTCGTGACGACCCCGGAGTCAGCGTCACAGCATCGAGACAAGCGGGAGACACGACCCCGGAGCCAGCGTCACAGCATCTTGCCTCTGACCGCAGAAACTGAGGGAGACAAGACAAGCGACAAGCGCAAGACCGCAAAAACTGATGAGACTGGGAGGAGACAAGCGGGAGACACGACCCCGGAGCCGGCGTCTGGCATCTGGTAGAGACTGGGAGACACAGGGAGACAAGCGGGAGACACAACCCCGGAGCCGGCGTCACAGCATCTGGCCTCTGACCGCAGAAAGGGAGAAACAGGGAGACAAGCGGGAGACACGAACCTGGAGCCAAGGCCGCAGAGACTGGGAGACAGGGAGACAAGCGGGAGATGGGAGACACAGGAAAACAAGTGAGAGACACGACCACACGACCCCGGAGCGTCACAGCATCTGGCATCCGACCGCAGAGACTT